ATTAGTATTTTATAATTACATATTGTAAATAATTATTTAGAAAAAATATCTTTATCACAAAAAATTACATAGTGGTGAAATTTTACTCTAGGAAGTAATATTTTTTTGTGAAAAGTGCCATAGAGACGTATAATGCACGTGGAATGACTGGAATCATAAAATTTTCGTGGAAGTATGTGCAGATTTCAACCCGAATTCTCTCCGTTCCTTCACGTTGTCTAAGGAGCTCGCTCGAACATCTGAAAAATGTCGGTGATGAGATGAAACATATGAAGATAACGAATAACGAACAGTATTCAACATAAAAAGTCGATAAAACAATACCAAATAGAACAAACACGGACATCCAAAGCATCAGAGATGGGATCGGGTGCCATTGAGGAGTGAGCATCCCTTGCTGACTGGTCACACCCGTCGTGTGCTCCTCGTCATGATTTGGAAAATCCGGCGTCAATTCAGTGTATAAATAATTGACTAACAATTACATTGTAGTACAAGTAGAGCTTTTTAAAAAAGCTTACCGTCTTTAGCAACAATCTTAAACTTAAAAAGTAAACTAATCTACACCTATCAGGCCGTATAATTCTTTTGAAATTCTTGATTTTGTATTTCTACATTAGCTTTTAATGGCATTAGCCCTACCACGGTTGTCGCTCGGTCATCTCCGTAAACTTTGACTGGCCGAGAGCTTTCGGCAAACCTCGGCTGGTTCCATTCCCTTCTTCAAACAAGAAAGGGGAAAAGAATAATAACAAATTCTAAACCCTGCAAGCAATAAAAATCAAATTTTATTTATAATGAACTTAAATAGACCTTTTAATTTTATTGCAATAAAAAAATATCATGTTATTAAGAATTAACTACTGCTGATTTTGTTATTCGTTTTGTCATTTTTTTAAGATTGAAAAGCTTGCAAAATTGTTAAGTCGTACGAAAATTAGCTCATCAGAAAGTTATCTCCCTTGCCTTGAACAGCATTTCAACCTATGAAATAACTGAAAATTTTCTCATCATGCAATTTCTACCAATCATAAAAGAGAGGAAGTGCATAGTCCGAAGACTGTAAAAAACTTCAACTATACAATACCGTCTTCCAAGGAAGACGGTAATGAAAAACGTCAGTCAACATTTGACTCAATGGTAAATTGTATTTGCTGACGAGGTCATTGTCTCGACCATAGAACTTACGAAATGATGACTTTAAAGGAGACTTTGCTTCTTTGGGATCTTAAAAATACTTAAAACTGACATAATTTTGAAGATTTTCTTCCTTAGAAAGGAAACTTTGAATATAATTAACATAATATACATTGATTACCACTTGTAGAATTAAATTAAAGTTCTTTTAAAATACAATTTATATACTGAATGGAAAAAGAAACCCAGGGTAAACTTTTGAGGTGAATTAAATTCATTTATTTTTATTTTTTCAGCATTCCTGTATTACTTTTTAAAATCGTCTGTAAAGAAAATGTAACCAAAATCCCATTTGATTTTGTCTTGTAATTCATGTGAAAAAAAAATAATAAAGTGAACCCTTATTATCTTCAACGCATTTGTCACAGCCATGATTCTCCTTTGCATAGAAATTATCAGAGTGCTTATCTTTCAAATCCTTATGGGTAACAGCGCCTAAAAATTAGTCAAACGACGCGCACATATGCCAATGAGAGGAACATGAACGTTAAGTTGACCGGCTCAAAAACCCAAATTGCGCAATTGTTTTCTTTCATTTTTGGTGTGAATGTAATGATTAAGATAGTCTAATGTACGAAAAGTTTTTTTTGGGGGGGGGGGGGGGTTGGCGTAATTAGGATGGCGATTAAGCAGGTGACAGGACGAATAACTTAACGTGACTCTGTTTTGCGTGAACGTCATCGTCACGGTTGGTTACACATCATTCAAGGCCTTCTCTGACAATGGGTAATACGTTCTATTGGGGAAAATTTACAAGAAACTGCTCAGTAACCCGTTGTTGCCTCAAAAACCAGACCCAATGGAACTTCCGTAAACTGTACCAAGATTGCAAGGAATTCACATCGTCTGTAATAAATATTGAAAAACAATGTGTATACCAAAGTCGCATCAAATGACATAACAAGATTTGCGTAATTTTCGGTCATGCGGTCAAAATAAAATTTAGAATATTATGCTACCCTACATTTTTTCCTCTCTGTATACAATAAGCCTTACAAACGAAGACAATGCTGTTACCTGCTTTGTCAGCAGGGACCAGTACGTACTGATCATATAACCTATCTATTCCTTTTTTTTACTTCTGGATTGTTGAATACAGAAGGATGGATGGTTTTCATATTGCCCCCTTCTTTTAATGTGAGATTGTAACATAGATCTGCAGGCACGCAGCATCGTGTTTGAAAGTGGGGGGGGGGGGGCAGCCAGAGAAATTTTTTTACTTACCTGAAAAAGTTGACAAGCAAAAAAAAAAGGAGATCTTAAAAGTTGCCCAAAGTCGAAAATCCTATTTCGTGGGGGGGAGGACAACTTTTTCTTCAAGTCAACTACTTTCAGTACCAATTCCTATACTACATTTTAAGACATCACTAAAAGTGGGGGGGGGGGGCAACCAGACTTAATTAATATTTCCTATAGTATAAGTAAGGTTTGGGAAAAAAGTGGGGGGGGCACCCCCTGCACCCCCCCCCCTGTTGCTACGTCCCTGATCTGATATATTTAATCCTTTCTGACAAAGAGTCAACGTCTGCTTTTTCATATTTGGCCCATCGTCTGGCGTTCTCTTCTATAGAATCCATAATATTTATGGAATTCCGACGCCAGATGAAGAAACGGGGTTCTCTACATTCAAAGGTGCAAAGACTTAAGAAAAGTAACAATCTTGTTATGTATTAATATTATTATTAAAACTCTAATCCAGAAAAATAATTATATTCAGTGTATAAATGTTAGAAAGCAAAACCCCTTCACAGATTTGAAGTTATCGTCATTTCGCGTTTAGTGTTACGTACAGTTTAGGAAATTGATTGATTGTATATTGTATATTGATTATCGTCCCTCACTCGTGTGGAGACGTCACCGTATGCTTCAAATTTTGACATTTACTCGGCACTCAGGGCCATTGAGCAGTGAGGGATCTTTATCGTGCCAACGCCTGCCGCTGACACGGGGCCTCGGTTTTTAAGACTTCATCCGAAGGACCTGCAACTTTCACTTCAAAGTGCCGAGCGCATGGCGAAGGAACAGTTGCTACCCATTTTATCGACTAGGTGAGTCGAGGCCGAGATACGAAATCACGACCTCCCGATCACGGAGCGAGCGCTCTACCGACTGAGCTACCGTGAAGGGTTTAGCAAATTGAACACACCCGTGAAAAGTCAAATCTTCGGTACATATGGCAAGCCCTTTTGCTATTTATTCGGAAAATAAAATTTAAGGTAAATTACAGAGATATCTCTCATTTTAGAGAGATTTCTCTTTAAAAATAGAGATATCTTTCAACTTAAAGAGATATCTCTCATTTTGAAGAGATATCTCTATGGGAAAGAGATATCTCTTAAACTTAGAGAGATATCTCTAATACTTAGAGAGATATCTCTTTTTATTAGAGAGATATCTCTTCCACTTGAAAAGATATCTCTTTCACCTAGAGAGATATCTCTTTTACTTTTGGAGATATCTCTCAAGGGTAAAGAGATATCTCTCAAGGATAAAGAGATATCTCTTAAAGTAAAAGAGATATCTCTCTTAGTTTACCTTAAGAGATATCTCTTAAAGTGAAAGAGATATCTTTCAAAAGTGTCTAAAAGAGATATCTCTTTCACTTTAAGAGATATCTCTTTGTCGGAAAGAGATATCTCTATACATATTTTTTACTTAAATTCCATTTCAAATGACTTCGCCCTTTACCGGAAGTAAACTTTTTATTGACGGAAGTATAGTTTATTATTTCATAAGCCGAGAAAATTCGGTCCATTGCATATGCTTACTTTCGTTTTCGTGAATATTAAACTTTACGCATTTTTATCAACGAAGTTGCCATTATTATTTGTTGTTTCAAGTAAGGGATTTATAGCATTTTTGTCTACACAGTACATGTATTATTCAGGGTAATTCCTTGCTCAGTCTTTTTTTCTTATAACATAGAAACTATTCCAGAGACTTTACTTCCTGTTTCGCTTTCGTTTTAAGGTGGAGTATTAATTATTCTATTTTAAGCATCACTGGAAAAGAGATATCTCTTTCATTAAAAGAGATATCTCTTAAGCTCATAAAGATATCTCTTTTTAAAAATCTAAAGAGATATCTCTCTAACTAAGAAAGATATCTCTTTTAACCTTGTTAAAGAGATATCTCTCTAACTTGAAGAGATATCTCACTCGTTTAAAGAGATATCTCTCTAGCTTAAAAGATATCTCTCTAAGTAAAAGATATCTCGCTTACAAAAAGAGATATCTCTTTTGTTTAAAGAGATATCTCTCTAAGGTATAAAGATATCTCTTTTAGATAAAGAGATATCTCTATAAACTAAAGAGATATCTCTCTATGTTAGAGAGATATCTCTCTTATTGAAAGAAAATTTTTATTTCACGAATAAATAGTAAAAGGGCTTGCCATAGGTACACTATCCATTAAAAATAAAATCTGGTTAAAACATAATTGTCTTTCATCAAAGCTCTGCACAGAAATATTCTACGCTTTACAAGTAATTAATTTTACACGCTAGATATTTTTAAATAAGACGTACATGTACTGATTAAAGATATACAGATCCGAGGGGATTACTTTTATTGTCTTTTAGCGACTTGATCAATGGGCCATGGGAAATTAACCGATTCCTTGTCAAAAGATTTTTTTTAATGGAAATGATTCCGCACAGTATTTAATTTAAACTTATAACCTCCGTATTTAGAAGCCTGAGTGCCATTGTGATTAGACTTTATCTCATATTCAAGGAAGAAAGTAAATATTTCACAAACAAAAAAAGAAAACAAAATAAAAGTAAAGAAAATTAATACATTAACCTTGACAACCAACGGTGTAATCGTTCAAAGACCGACAACTATTAGATTCAATCGTTCTGCAAAAATATCCAGCTCCACAGTTACGTTGATTACACAGTCTATTCTTCATCCATCCACACTGTAAATACAAATTAAAAGTTATACCCAGCCTCCCATATGACTATAATAGCAAAGTTCATATTTTGCTTTTAGAGACTAAAAATATGTTTCAGATCAAAGAGTAAAACAAGAAACATATTGACGCAAGCGTCAAAAATCGGCCGCAAACCAATTAATTGTTCCTTTGATAAAGTAAATTAGAAACTAAAATTTGCGTGATCTGTTTTTAAAATTTCTTATATTTATCTGTTAAAATATCCTCGTGACATGAAATACTTGCATGCGACATTGCCGATTATTTTCATGCATAATGCATGTTCAATATTATAGGTATAAGCAAACTGTCCATAGACCCCTGCGTCCGTACAAACGACCTCTGGTGGAAGTTTGATGTTTAAGAAATTATTACATAAAAGTACAAAACTAAAGTGTAAACTTAGCTATAGTTTTACTTTAATTTAAATGCAACAAATATGAAATATGTGGGACTCCTCGCTCTCTCTTAGAAGATGTTAACATCCCCCACCCAACTCCCTCTAGATCCACCACTACATTTCCTCTCCTGAAGTCTCTTTGTTTTGATGTTGATATTGGCTGGAAAATGCTTGGCACATTGTAAAACGCGCTTTATCCTACTCTCTCCTGGACCAAAATGACGTAAGATTCTGTGCTTTTAAGAAATCAATATTTCATCATATCTTTGAAAAATTTTCATAGGAAATATAAATATACACGTCGTTTTAAAATAAATTCAACAAATCCTGTTTAAAAAGAGAAAGTAAAATTGTTGACATACAACGTGGTTTTTGTTTTAGACTATGCCTATATAAAATACTCGTGATAATTTTCTCCGCACTTCAGTTATGTCAGAGTTCGTCAATCAGGATTGGATGAAATATTTACCCAATGATTTATAAAATTTTAATTTTATGATTTTTGTGCTGTTTGCTTAACATTTAGAATATCTTTGTTTAATATTCTATAATATGAATGTTAAATATTTTTATTCAAATTGTTCTAACTCCGCAGAAACGCACGGCGACTTAAAGGTGTCACAACAGTATTAATTTCTGCTATATATTCTTACCAAAAATGCGCAAGTTTGAGTAGATGTAACTAATTCAAAACAAACTTCTGAGAAGTTTCCTTTTCAGATCTTGTAAAACCATTCTTTATAAAGATTTTAGTACCAAAAAATACATAGCCATCCAGCAAGGCACGCAAGTTTGTTTCGGTCGAAGTCGAGCAGGTGCTTGAAAATCTAGTCTAGGGCCTAATCACTCCCCACTCTTGACAGTATACAGAAAAATCAGCACGCCCTAAATTTTAATAAATCTGGTCAATACAGGAAGTTTACATGTTGTTTTTCATCTCATAAAAAAATTCAGCTCCAGTCTCGTATCAAAATGCCCGAATCGGAAGGGAAGATTCCGGGATTATTTTCCGTCAGCCATGATTTGACGTGAACCAAAGTGTAATACTGTTATGACACCTTAAAACTTTCATATCAAGTAACCGACCGCCTCCTGGCGGCCGGTAATAAAAAGGTCACAGGGACATTTTGTAATAAAAATTCTGTGAAAGTCTCATTAAATTTTATTCAGTGGTTTGAGAGGAGTTGTGGATAGGAGATGTGTAACTGTGTCCATGTTTTTCTATGGGAAAGTTTAAAAAAAAAGTAAAATAGGAGGTGCACAATGGCACTATGTAACATTGATTTAGTGAAAGTCTCTCTAATTAGTTGTATAAGAGGAGTTGGGGATAAGAGATAAGTACTTCAAAGCGTAACAGACGGACGGACATCCCGATCACTATATGCCATCCCACTTTTCAAGTGATGGGTATTAAAAGATCAGGCATTTGTATGGATAGATGATGTAGTGTGCCTTAAATTTTTAATGGGTAGGCTTTAGTAGATGTAAGACAATCAAAAAGGCATCCTTAATTATTGAAATTACGGGGAACATGTCTTAAATTTTTTCGTCGAAGAAGGAGATATTTTATTGCATGAAAATGAATCAATAATAGTTCTTTGGCTTTTTCTCAAATACATAACAAATTCAAAGTTTAGTTTATGTGTATTTGAACTTGAAAATGAAATATTTAAAAATACATTTTAATTCAACAATCAGGGTCTAAAGAAAAATGTATATAAATTCGATATAACGATTTGTCGAATTCGTTTTAACGAATTTAAATCGTAATAACAAATTAAAGAATCCATTTAAACGAGTTCAATTCGTTATAACAAATTTCGTTTAAACAATTTTAATTCTAATTTTCAAAAAATGAATTTGTTAAAACAAATTCAACAAATTTGTTATAACGGTTTAAATTCATTATAACGAATTCAAAGAATTTGTTATAACTAATTAAATTCGTTATAAAAATTTTACGATTCGTTATATCGAATTCAAAAATATTTTTGATAGGTCCAAGTGGTTCTTGAGAAGAAGTCGAAAATGTACAAAAAAAAAACAGAAAGAAAGAAAGAAATTTTCAAACGACAGACGGACGGCGGACATTTTTTTGATCAGAAAAGCTCGCATTATCCTTCGGCTCAGGTGAGCTACAAAAAGGTTATAAGCACAATGTAATGAGGAAATTAAATTTTATTCAGTGGTATAGGAGAAGTTGCGGACAAGTGATGGATACCGTTCAACATTATAGAAAGAGTGGCAGTAACCGTGCTGTGCTATGTTAACTCGAAATATGTTTCCGATCAAAAAGTAAAAAAAAAAAGGAGGTAGCATAGATTACTAGTATATGGAAGTCTAATTAAACTCATATCATTCAGTGGTATGACATGGCTTTGTATTTTATAAAGACTGATAAAAATGCTGTTTTTTTACCACATCGTTTCCTAAATTATGATAATCCAGATATTCTCTCACTTCTTCGTGGTCACAACCCTTTGTTTCTGTGCATTCTTCATTTATATCAAGGTCAGACAAGCTTCGTCTTTTTTTAAATCTCTGTAGAAATGTCGATGCCTTTTCTTTAGAAGTAAACAGTTCTTTATTGTCTACAAAATATATCAAGTATTGCGACAATTTTTCTCCGATGTACTTTTTTTAGAAACTGATTTTTAGCCAATCAGATTTTTTGCCCACGTCATCTTCGATATACGATGTCAGGCCTGGGGTATACTCTTCACATTCGTTGCACCTGACTGCTTTATTGTCACGGGTGTCAGCGAGGAATGGCTACCCGTGTTAGTACTGGTTATTTTGCATTACATTAGTTTGAAATTTATTTCAGTTACGTGTATTTGTTTTCATACTGGGCTGACCTGTGTACATGTAAGTAGCCCTGTTACATGTACACCAATCTGTGTCCCTGCAGAGTTAATACGGGTTTGTTAAATTTTCAAAATCTCTTTGGAGTCACAGAAAAATTGCATATATTTCTGTAAGATTTTCACAAACAAAAGATGTCTCGGCGTCCCGACACATTTCTACGGCGTTTTCGTAGGAGTTTTTACTGCTGGGAGCTGGGAGCTGTCATCTCACTTCGACGTTTTGCATTTTTTTTATGGACGCCATGCGATCGCCGTGAGGACGCAGTCCCGGTGTGATAGAGTTTTTCTCGATGGTATCTTACTCTCCTGTATTAGAAGAAGTATATGTAGCTTTAAATAATGTATAGAATAAGTCTGTCTATACCGGTGACGATTGATTATTAATAATGAACAGTGACTAAGTGAATTTTTCTATATATAAGGGTCCTCATATAGAGCTATAGCGAGAGTCCTATCAAAAAGGCGGAAACATTTATTTACGACTCGTGTTCAGCTTAAAGTAGACATTTCTACTTGACAAGCAGAGTTTCGACGCTGAGATGAAATAAAATAAAGACATGTTTGCCATATATTGTAGTGTAGATACATTATCGTAGAAGACAATGGTACCGGTAATAAACAGTTTGCCAGTACGTTTCCTCTGAAAGTGTAAATGACTGCGTCTCTGAGGAGGCGGATATTGAGTGTAATTCGGACTTCAGCTGCAATAATGTAGCCCTCTCTATTTTTTTTTCGTGTATGTCAACATCAAAACTTGAATTTATCCGCCTTTTCTACTGACCTTGGTCGATTTTTTGGGGGGTGGGGGGGCAGCTGAGATTGGGTATCTATATGGTGCGGATTTCTATAGGAATTACCTTATTATTAGGCATACATATCACTGTTTACGAAAAAATGTCAGATGGAAACTATTATTGTTTTTCTGTCGATGTTTAGTGAAACTACATGTATATAGCACAAACATTAAGTAACCCCGACAATTGCTTTTTTGAGTTATTCTAAATTTTAAGGGAAAGTCTCAGTACATCATGCGAGAACTGTCATGGCTTATGAGGAGAGCGACTGGTAAACCTTGAAGCCTGTACAGAGCGAGCGCTCGCAAAAATTTCTACCGGGCGTATAAGGACTTTTGGCGAGAACGTTCGCGCTTTTAAACAGTCCTCATATTTTCGCGTTTTACGGATTATGTACTTGACAGTGAATAAAAATTTCGACAAGCTTTGTAAAAGTAAGTTGAATTTTTTAAAAAAAATAACAATTTATTTTACCTGCAGTCGTCTGTAATTAAATTATATATTTGCACCATAACAAAGATGCTTTGGATTTGTAGCCCACTCCAGAAAATATCAGGGGCAATTTCCGAAACAAGTACATGTACATGTGCTTTGTACTCACAAACTGAGTAAAAGTGAGAAGCACTTTTATGTAAAGTTTGTGAGTACAAAGGCATGAGTTTACTTATCGATAAATTCTGAAAAAAGTTACTTCTAGTCTAGTCGACTACAACTCCTTAAATTAGGATCTCCGTAATGATGCAAGTGCGGGTGTGAATCACTCCCGCACAGATTTCGGCTCGTATTCTCAGTAAATGCCTATTTCATTAACATTTCTTACCTGGACTCCAAAAATGTAGTTATGCTAGACATAAATCGATCCAAAAATATATTCATAACAATCCATATATCTGTTATTTTTCGTGTATGTCTACATCAAAACTTGAATTTATCCGCCATGTTTACTGACCTTGATAGATTTTATGTTGGGACAGCCAATGAGAATTTAGGATAAATAGGAGCGGTTTCTTTTAGGAATTCCCTTATTTTAAGCATAAATATCGCTGTTGCGTAAAAATTTCACTCAGTTTGATTAAAATCAGATCCTTTGATACGCTCACATACTTATAGATCACTGCACAAGGATCTGAGGAAACCCCATTCAGGGTCATCTCCTGATGACCTTTGAATTATCCAATCAAATACTTACTTTAGAGAATTGGAAAGTATCTCGGAATTCAGTTACAGAGGGGAAAGGCCCGATGATACACGAATGGAAAAATCGTGACCTAGTTCCTGAAGCCTGTCAAGAGAAGGACCACAGTCTTTTCTGTACAGTAATATCATATAAGTACTTGCTTTTGTCTTGTTTTTTAGCCCTTTGTTTTGTACGAAACGATAAGATCTTCTCCGCAGCTACTTTCACTTCTATATTCGTTTTCCCGAATGTCGCTTAAGTACGATCTCTCTGATTGGTAAAAAATTACATGAATATTTTTATTAGAAAGGTCACCAGGAGACCCTGAATGGGTCTTCAGATCCTTGTGTAGCGATCTATGTGAGCGGATCAAAGGATCTGATTTTAATCAGATTGAATTACACTTAAAATGGTTTCATCGATCTTTTTGTGATACCATTCTAAACACCGACATTTGCTTTATATGTTGTTCTAAATTTTAGGCGAAAGTCTCAGTGCATTACGCGTGAACTGTCATGGCTGCTGAGTACAGCGACTGGTAAACAAGCAGATTTATTTTACATATAGTTTCCGCGTTGAACAGTGTATGTTCTTGACAGTGAATAAAATTTTCGTCTCATTAGAAGTACTAGTAAGTTGAATAGTGAAAACAATTTATTTTGCCTGCAGTCGCCCGTATTTTACAAATATATTTTACGGAGATGCTGTGGAAATGTAGCCCTCTCCAGAAAATATCTGATGAAAAAATCGGAGAGGGCTATATTATTACAGCTAGTACGTATGCATGTACATGTATATATACATCTGTTATGTTGCATTTATTTCTTGTATATAAAAGAATGTTTATCTCACGCTTACAGTGAACACACTGAATTAAATATTACTTAATGATTATCTAAGCGCATATCTTCGATACAATCCAGAATCTTACAAACATGTATTTTTATTAGAGACACATTCTTTGGACCACTTTATAAAAGGACGGTAACTTAAATTATGACATTTTCACTACAACGGAAATCAGTCTTATCTAGACCAACAAAACTGTGCACACACTGTGTTGAGAAAAAAAAGCTTTTCTTGTCTATTCTAGATAAGTAAAAAATAAATTATTACCGTTTGTGCACACGACGCAAAATCGATGAGTCATCTCGCGAGATTACACTACCTCAGGGTGCCAAGTGGTCATTGGGGAAAAGATTTTTAAAGATTTTTCCTATACATAGTATCTCAACGTAAAACTTTGATTCCCTGTTAATTGTTGCCCACCTTAAATGCTACATAGAGGGGCTGGGGTGAACAGTACAGAATCTACACTCCCAGGAGGCTTCCACATAAGTTTCATCTATTTTAGCCCAGTAGTTCATGAGGAAAAAATTTCCTATATTTTCAGTGTTAAACTCTGATTTCCCATTATGGCCCCACCCTTCATTGGGGGCCATGATTTGAACAATTTAGAATCTACACTACCTCAGGAAGCTTCCACAAAAGTTCCAGTTTTTCTAGTCCATTGATTGCTTAAGGGGAATATTTTTAAAGTTTAAAGACATCCAAATAAAACCCCAAAAATGATACCATATTTCTTAATTGATACTCTGATAAGAGAGATACATGTAACTCTTACTGACATAAATGTTTATTATTACATTTTAGATTTGCCAAGTTACAACTGAAGTGACTATTTTGTCCAATTTTGCCCCGCAACCTATGCTATAATTGTTTGCATTTAACTTATAAAATACATTTCTTTTGGAAAATCATAAGGGCTCAAGCAATATTTTGTATGAGTGGGCAGAGGGTTTATGAACCTTAAGGAACATGACATAAACTGTTATACCTTTAAAAATTTGTTCCTATACGAATCTATACGAAAAAAGTCTAACATTTCTAATGTTTTTCTGAGCGGGCATAAAAAATCGATGTTGGACCGCTAAGTGAGATGTTGGACCGGTCGATGAGATGTTGGACCGCTTACGTCACAGAATGGGCGGAGCTTTATCTCATTTTCATACGTTGGTGTTTAACTGTGACGGACCTGATGTTACACCACGGAAGATATATATGGTACAAAATACATTTAAAGTATGTCAAAATAAAATGAAAGGTATAACAAAACATTGACCGAGTTCTCGGGCAAAATGCGTTTTGTCGACCCTCGAACCAAACTGTCTGCCTTTGGCCTAACGGCTTCAGTTTGGTCTTTGGGTCCGACAAAACACATGTTGCCTCGAACTCAGTCAATAAAATATAATGTTTTGGAGACGTTTTAAAAATAATATCAATGATATATCTAGTTTGGCGATTAAGCAGTTTCAAATTACCAAGTTTAAAAAAAAAACGTTACGTTTTAAGCATGAAATAGATATTTCCTCTTCCATACATCTAAAACATTGTTAACTTATATGTTTATTGTAAACATTATGAAGGAACGTTGTCAAAATAATAATTTCACTCCTCCATGGCATCTGATCCCACTCGTCTTGTTTGAATGGACTTTTGAGCTTGAATGCTGTGCGTTATCTCCATATACACTGTTTTTCGTTTACTAAATGTATGTCTTTTACTGTACATGTACAGTAGATATTTAGTACCTCACTTACCGGTATCCATTTCACAGCACCTGCCAGTTTTACCGGTTGTGCAGCTACAACGATCGTTAACAAATATAGCTCCGTTGAGACATTTCACGTTACAAATTCTTCTATCTATCTTGAATGTCTTTCCGCACTGATCATCTATATCTTCCTCACTCCATCCTGGTAAGCTACAAATTTCTCGCTTCCTTATTTGAGAGCCCCCTCCACAGGTATGACTACAGGGACTCCAATCTGACCAGGGTAACTGACCACATAAGTGTTCATCTCTACATCCATTGGGAATAAGAGGAGCGCTGGCAAAGGCTAAAAACATTAAAAACAGCCACATTACAGAAGTTATGGAACCTCACATGAATATGATTTAAGGACGCTTTGATTTACGGTTGTCTTCTCAAATATATTAACACTCCTTTTATCCATTAAAAAATTGATCTTGCACGAATCACTCTACACGATAGGAATGTGATAAATCTTTTCGAAAAGATTACAGCTTGGAGGTTAATATCCTTGTTTATTTTAGAATTCTTTCAAGTTGTCTTTTGTTTGAGTTTTACATTTCTGAAACAAATGTATCTCTGAATATTTAATATATAATCGACATGGCCCTATCTAGGACGAGGGACTCGTAACTCATAGACGTCGGGGGGGGGGGCTAATTGAAAGTGTGGGGCTAAACCAGCAAAAAAAAGGAAACCCCAATTTTCAATGCCTATACATATATATTTACAAAAAAGCCACCTGGTTCCGACGCCTATGTAATTTAACGCTTGCTTACCTTTTGACTTTAGGAGGTTGATAAGTATATGACATATAAAACACATGTGAAGTTTAAAACATCCAAAATAATTGTGAAAATGAAAAATTACAATTCACTAACGTTTAATGGTCCACTAAAAATAGAGATTTTTTTTTTTTTTTTTTTTTTTTTATTGCCCCATCACATGTCCAAGTATATAATAGTGCCAGGGTTGGGGCCCTGGGTTCACTAAGTAACATACATAATACACATATATATTACACAATCATAATGTGACAGGACATTTTTTTCACATATCATTCACACACCTTTCGCTACATAACATGCATATGATTATATTTATAATAATATTTAACAACTGAACTCTTAATATAATCAGTGAAAAGTTGATGTACATCTGTAACTGCATTGTTTTTTCAAAAATATTAATCATATTAAAACATTATCAAATTCCATCGTTTTTTAAAACTGTCCATTTCCCCATTTTTCTTATAAATATATTTTTCACAATTAAAATAATACATAACCTCTTGTTTGACCCTCTCAAAAGATGGTACACATTTTTTGCATCTATTTCTATAAATATGCTTTTTTATTATACATACTACTAAATTAAATATATTGTTATATTTATAATGTTTTCCCAACAAAACATCAACTTTGTTTAGAGATATATCAACTCCAAACTGTTCTTTCATCCAATCCAGTACATTTTTCCAAATTTCTGCAACACACTCGCATTCCCAAAAAAGATGACAAAGTGTCTCTGGGTGTTTCTTACAAAAACTACATAAATCTGAGTCAGTAACACCAATTTTGTGTAAATATGTATTTGTAGCTAAAATTCTATGTACAATTCTATAGTGGAACCATCTTAACTGTATATCATTTGTTATGTTAAAAAACAGAATGTTTTGTTTTTTCCACCAAAATTCATCAACATTAAGTTCTAAAATGTTTTCCCATTTCATTTCACTTTTTGGTTTTTTGTATTTCTGACTAATAAAAACATCATAGAAATCTCTTGCACCTTGTTTGCTTTTTGTTATTGTTTGTAAGAATTTTGGGAAGAAAGGTTGATTTCTTTGAATTATATTATGATCATAATTCAACTGTAATTTTCTAATACAATTTGTTATGCCTAAAAACATTGTAAAAGGTGTTTTTAAATCATATTGTTTACAAAAGTCTTGGTATCCTAACAAAGTCCCATTTGTATCATAAAAATCAAAAACAAATTGTATACCTTGTCTCAGCCATGACTTATAACAAACACTTCTGTTGTTTATACATATTGATGGATTATACCATATGGGACTTAAAATAGATGTTTGATCATCAATACATAATCTCAAATCCAACAATGCTGAAAAAACATCATTCCAGAAAACATTTTCCGTATCTTTCTTAAGTTTTTTTGAAAAATCCCTACCATAGATAACTAAATATTTAATGTCAGGAATTAAATCTTTTAGCAATTCTTTCCAGGCTGATTTACATGAACTATCAAACAATCTGCGAATCCATGTAATTTTTAAACTTTTACAAAATGAATCAAGACATGTCATTCTCATACCACCGTTTTCATAACTTTGGCATATAATATTTTTAGCCACCCTAGCCGTTTTGGTATTCCAGATATAATGAAAAAATATAGCTTCAATTTCTTTGAGTTTTTCTTTAGAAGGGCTCGGTAAACTAATTAATAAGTGACCTAAATTTAGGTAAAAGCAAGGTTTTTACTACTGTTATACGACCTGCCGTTGATAAATGTCTTCTAGACCATGATGATAAAAGCTTTTTGACAGAGTCAATCTTTGGCAAAAAATTCAAATCAAACATAGTGTTTGTGTCTAGATCTACACAGTATGCTATACCTAACACTGTAAATGGTTCCTGTGACCACATCAAGTTTTGATATTTATCACACAAGTTATCATCAGTATGAACAGTAGATCCAATCCTAATACATTGAGTTTTATCATAATTTGGCTTCAGTCCAGAGAATTTGGAATACTGATTGACTAAAGACAAAGCTGATCTAATTGAGTCTTCTGAACCATCCATTAATAAAACTGTATCATCAGCATATTGTAGTAGTTTATATTCTTTATCTTCAATAACAATGCCCTTTATTAATTTATTATTTCTAATCATAATTCCCATTATTTCTGCACATAGTAGGAACAAGTAAGGTGAAATTGGGTCACCTTGCCTACAACCTCGTCCCATTTGGAAAAATTCAGAAAAAATACCATTTTGAATAACACATAACTTAGCTTCTCTAAACAAAATCTTTATCCATTTTAAAAAATTCTCACCAAAATTAAAAAATCTGAGTACTTTAAAAATAAATCTCCAAGAAATAGAATCAAATGCTTTCTCAAAGTCAATCAATAGAACAAGACCTGAATGATCATTCTCTTTACAATAATGTATGATGTCATATAATAACCTTGAGTTTTCACCAATATATCTACCAGCAAGAAACCCTTTTTGATTTTCATGTATTACTTTTGACAGAATTGGTTTCATTCGATTTGCTAAGACACTAGATAAGAGTTTATATGTAATGTTCAATAATGTAATTGATCGCCAATTTTTTAATTGTTCCCTTGGCTTATTGCCTTTTGGTAAAATAGAAATAATTCCAAGCATCTGAGTATAAGATAATTGACCTACTTCATAGCTGTAATTAAAGGATTTGAGAATATATGAATTAATATCTGTCCAAAAAAACTTGAAAAATTCTGCTGTAAAACCGTCATTTCCAGGTGTTTTGTCGTTCTTAAAATTTTTAAGAGCTTGAAGTATTTCTTGTTTTGTAATTTCAGCATTTAAAATGTTTTTCATATCATTATTTATTTTAGGAACCTCAAAGTTTTGGAATAAATCTTCAAGATTTACATCATCAAGCTCCTGATCTTTGTTTTCATATAATTTTTTGTAAAAGTTCCTTACTTCTTCTAAGATATCTGCTTGCTTATTTACATATTTACCATCATTATTGATTAAATTGCTAATATTTTTATTGACATAATTTCTTTTTTCTAAGGCACAAAAATATTTTGTAGGTTTCTCCCCATCTTCTATCCATTTACAATGACTTCTTAACAATAGCCCCTTCAATTCATATTTTCTAATTTCCTCTAATTCTGTCTCAAGGTCACTTATCATATCTAGATAAATTGACAAAGGGTAATTATTATACATATCATGTAAAATTCTAAGTTGATTTCCAATCTTTGCTTTGTGATCCCTCCTTTCTCGGGTCAAATTTGCAGATAATTGTATTGCCATATCCCTTATTTTCATTAATAGAACATCAAGAAAAAGATTATCTGGTATTCCTAACATTGATTCATCAATACGATATTCATTATCCGTTTCCCTTATAATTTTTTTAACATTTGTCACAAATTCTTTGTTTCTCAATAAGGAATTGTTAAAACGCCAGAATCCCTTTCCACGTTTAAATTCATTAATAGTAATATCTAATTCTATGATAGAGTGATCAGTCCTATAGCCTGGCATCATGTGAACATCATTTATAATTGATAAGAGTTCCTCTGATACTAAAAAAAAAGTCAAGTCTAGCCTGTTTTACTGGGTTCTTCCTACTCCATGTATATTTTTTAGCATCTGGGTTTTTGATTCTCCAAGGATCTACTAAATTGAATTTTGATTTTAATTTTTCAATTTCAAGTTTATTTTTGGGATTGTTTTCTCTAACATAATTGTAACAGTCTAACTGGTAATCTTGTACTACATTCCAGTCTCCACACATAATTATAAAGTCAGTATCAAAAAAATCATCCATTTTATCACTTATTTCTGCATAAAATTTAGGATTATCTTTATTGTGACCATATAAATTAACCAAAGTGATTGAGTACTTGTTATCCACCATTATATTTGTTATAATGAAATTCCCCTCATTATCACTATAAACTTTAGAAATTTTTATTTCATTTGTGTTATGAAAAAGGGTTAAAGTCCCTCTTGCATCTGATTTTCCTGAACTGATGAGTATGTCATTACCCCATTGGGCATAAACTGAATTTTTCTCTAATTCTGTACAGTGGGTGTCTTGTAAACAATAAATAGATGATTTAAAATTTCTTAAATAGTTTAGGACATCCTTTCTTTTCATAGAATCATGTAAACCTCTGCAGTTTACAGAAGTAATTTTTAACTTAGTCATAGATTACACTACACAGTTGAATAAAGGCAAAAAAATATGCATGTTGCATACTCTCCATTCTTTCACACATATATCAAAAATGAGAAATACTTCCTGTATGGTAACAAAACAAATCAAGAAAATTCATGTATTACATCGCATTGGGTCTTTTTAATTTAACTTAGCCACCTAAATAAGATAGTGAACCGTAGTTCTCTCATAGAAAAAATAATAATAAATACAAGCTCCTCTAAGAACTTCTACCAGTAATCTTTGTAATCTTTGTTGAAATTTAGGTATTTATTACATTAAAAAGAAAAAACCAATATGTCCCCATGTAATTTATACAGCAAACCATAAGCTGCCAAACAAATATATATCCTGAGACATACTACATGTAGATATGTTACAAGTTATCAACTATGACATAACACAGTAGTTCACAGATAACGATACCAAAAATTCTCAATATTTTACAAGTTATTAACAACTAAGGCATAACTCTGAATTTTACAGATATCATCCAAAGCTCAAAACACTGGTATTTTACTTTTAAACATCTGCAGCATACCTTAGTATATCTTTCTAATAGCATCTAAAACATACTTATTATTTGACAAGTAAACAACACGATACCAACTGTAGCATAACTCATCACTTTACAGATATACAAAACCTTCACCATATCATACTCCTACAACCTGTCATCTCCTGCAAATAATCTTGTTCTTATCTAGATCAATTAGAAGGAATCACTAAAAGCGAGCCATTCTTTTTCTCCTTTTTGTCGATACTCCAGAATCACATCGTCTTTCGTTTCACGGATTCTCGTCTTCATTCCTGATTTCATATGCTTTTTGAGCCAGCTCTGCCCTCTTTCTCTTCAAATGCACGGGTAGATCTGTTCGTATTGCATAGCCTTTCGGTAGGGTAGTGTTTCTGGCATGATTTAGTATCATATTACGGTCCTCCATAAGAACGAATTTAACAATGACTGCTTCTGGTGCTTCAGGTTTGTAACTGCTGTTGGGGTTTTTTGGAACCCTATGAGAGTTTTTAATCATTATAGACTCTGCTGTTGACATGCCCAGTTTTTCACTCAAAAATTTCACAATAACCTCGTTTGAAACTTCATTCTCTGCTTTAGGAATGCCATAAAATAAGAGGTTGTATTTCCGAGATCTTAACTCTTGGTATGTAATATGATCTTGCAGTTCTTTTAAAGAAGCCTCAAGAAGGCTTACCTTTTTACTTTGGGGTTGTATAACCTCTGTGTTTAGCTTTTCTAAATCAGTTAATCGGTCATCTTGGTTTTGAAGCGCTGTTTTCATATCAGTTATCTCCTCCTTAATAACGATCAGCGTTTCCTCTACTTTTTTGTCAAGCGCAGTAAGCCTCTCGTTCATTGAACTCTCCAACTTCTGTATTAGATTAGAGAAAAGTTCCTTTAACTCTTTATTTGACACCTCATCATTTTGCGCACTCTCCTTCTCCGTATCTTTTCTCTTCGCCATCTTGCACGAGCTTCCCGAATTTCCTTGTGCAAAGTAGTGACTTACAGTCTGTTGCATTTAACAAAGAGGAAAATACCTGAAATTCACCTAAAACACGAAGGTTTTCACGTAATTAAGAAAACTATCTGCAATGCCTCGTATCAAATATTAATGTTCACTTAGGAAAACAGAAAAAACGACCCTCTGCTCCTTCTCACTTCACGCCATTTGCGCAGCCACACCGGAAATTTTCAAAATAGAGATTTTATTTGTAAGTTGCCAACTGAAATTTGCATCTTAAAATGGCACCATTAGTTTAACACAATGTGCAGATGTGCCCATTCAAATATCTTTGTGCTCATAGAGATGCTTCAGAAAGAACAGGCTGCAAATGAAGCAAAGACTATCCAGATTTTAACTTCCAAAAAAATATAATATATCTCCAACTATCAAGGACAGGCTGCATCGAGTGCAAATGGACATAGTGGTCTACGCTGATACAACGACATATTTGTCCATCTGGTTCCTTAAATATGAAGCCGAACCATGATCCGTTCTTCGTACAAATTCTTTTCCCAACAAATAGTGTTTGTTATATTTTACAAAATAAATTACAGCAAGCATCTCTTTCCTCGTAACACAATAATTCTTCTCTGCTGAACTAAGAGTTCGACTTCCATAAGCAAAAATTCTTTCCCTTCCATCTTAAATTTGAGACAGAACACATCATATAGCTTCATCACTTGCATCTGTGTTCAGTATAATAGATCCACCATTTACGTCTTGGTATCCTAATATATGTGCTTCTTGTAGCTTTTGCTTCAGCTCACAGAAGGCTTCGTCACATTCAGTCGTCCAATTCCATTTACTTTTTTTACCTGTGAGAAAATGTAAACATTTTGCAATCTTGGCAAAATCCTAAATATACTTAATTCAGGAATACTTAACTGATCTAAGGAAACTTATCATTTCTCTAACATTCTTTGGTACTGATATTCTTTTAACATCATCAATTTTAGCGGGATCTGTTTTGATTTCTGCTCCGGGTACAACATATCCAAGAAATGACACTTCCTTTTTGAAAAATGAACATTTCTTTGCTTTCAACTTCAAATTCGTCTCCTCCAGTGTATCAAATACTCTCTGTAAACCCAAATGCTCATCAAAATTCTTTAAAAATTCCTATAGACAACTATATCATCAAGATATAACACAACTACATTCCACTGCAACCCACTCAATGCTCTTTCAATGGTTTCAAGTAGCAGGTGCATTACAAAGTCCAAATGGCATGACAGTGTGCTGAAATAAACCTCCTCGTGGTGTAGAAAATGCAGTTTTCTCTTTATCCCTCTTCAACATCGGTACTTGGTGATACGCCATTTTTAAATCTGAATGATGAAAACCATTCCTATCCAGCCAATGCATCCAGATTATCATCTACCCAAGGTTTAGGATATGCGTCCTTTATTCGGCTTAGCATTCTATCGACGATAATCAACACAAATTATCCAACTCTTGTCCTTCTTCCGAAGCAAAACAAGTTGTGACGAGCATAGACTGCTGAATTTCTCAACAATTCCTTGTTTAAGTAATTTCTCTATTTCTTGATCAAGAATTTCTCGTTAAAATATTGGTACTCGTCTCGCTGCCTCCTTAAATGATGTTTCACCACTCAGATTAATCCTATGCTACACAATGGTTGTTCTCTGTAATAATCCATTTGGGATCAGCAAACATCTCTCCGTTTAATGAGAAACCTTTAAAATTTCTTAGAATCCACGGTAAAATAAATCCTTCTATTATATAAAGTTCTGCTGATGTTAATCCAATTTTGAAAAACACAGATTTATCCCACCGCTGCCACCATATGTAGCGTTTCCGAGCGGTCTAAGTTGTAATTCCTTCGAGTGTTAAAATTCAATGCCAATATGATTATTGATAATCTCCGTGTATAATATCATAGGTTTTTTCCTTGTAATAAAAGTCAACAACTGTTTACAAATGTTTATTAAATCCAAAGTAAAATAGAATATAATCCAAAGGAATTAAAACAAAATAAATCCAAAATATTAATGAATGTAAGGCACTATATAAAATCACTTTACAAAATTCCTAACCACAAATTCTCCCAATTTCTGCGAGGGCCGTTCAAAAATTACGCGGACTTGTTGCACAGAAGAAATATTTGACGACATAATCGGGCAAAATTTCACAAATAATATAAAAGAATCTTTACTTATATGGTCTTCAAAATTTCATATCAAAATGTTGTAAATTGGTATTAATTTTGAGCGATTTTTCAGGACATACCATTAAGTTACGGCGCAGCAAAATCTTCGACGTCAGAAGCATTATAAAAACTTTCATTTTCTCAACATTTTCCCTTGAGTACCTGTATAGTTTGAGTTACCTTATCTACTCAACATCAAAACACCATATTTGTCAAGCTTAAAATCTATTAAACAAGTAAAGAATATTCTTTTTTTTTTTTTAAACCAAAAACTACTTATGAGATATAGTGTGATATTGGTGACTCTCAAGCACGTTCTTTACAGTCCGGATAAAGTTAACTTTTCGTCTATAATATTCTTCCCGTCTTCCCGTATAGCCTTTTTACAGAGGTCTAACTGTCTAAAATTTCAATTTGCTATTTGTGGGCGAATGTCACGAGTAGCCTAGTTTACTACATGTTTATTATTAGGGATGTGCAATTTTATCGGTATACCGGTATATCGCGATTTTTTGTTGCGTGATACGTATCGTGATACAGAGACCTAAATACCGGTCTTTTGGTACATATTATAAAGTCCAGAAATTATTCACTTATTTGTACAATCTTTCAAATTACAATTACAGAAAGTATAAAAAAATGTTGTAAAAAGTGAAAGGAACGGCATCTTACCGTCAAAACGTAATTGATTTTATATACATAAAATTTCAAGAAAGTAAAATTTTGTTTTTCTAGCATATTTTTTAGAAAAATAATGACTTTTCATATAAAATCATTGTAAAAACTGCTTTTAAAAATATTATGATATTATCGTGATATTGTGGGAAAAAAATCGAGATATATCGCGATACGAAATTTTTGGCGATACCCATCCCTATTTATTATGCATATTTTGGATCTATGTTGCCGATTTCTCGAGCATTACACATATTTTAACAAAAGTGTGGTGCGCCCTCAATTCAGGAGACGTCATTTTTACAGTCGTTTTCACGGGAATCGCATCAGAGAAAAATCACTATATTTCTGTTAGTACTTCAAATATTACGTCCGAAATCTAAATACATAATAATATAACAATTTAAAGGTACATTTGAGAAAATTGTTGAAAAATATCGCGAATTTTAGAAAATCAATGAGTTAAATTTTTGAATCCGCATGCTTTTGTTTCAATTTTTTTTTTTTTTTTTTTTTTTTTTTTTTTGTCGTGCGCCGTACCTCTCCATCAACGATATCAACATACCGACAATTTTAGTAGAATTTTTTTAAAATGCAGAAATTTTGCCAATAATTTATTGGAATCTTTAAGATACGTATTTCTGTGAAATCTTATAACTATATGACGTCTGTAAGAGTAAATAATAGCACGGTCCGCGTAATTTTTGAACGGCCCTCGTATATCTAACTCTATCACTATTTCTATAACATCGTCTACTAATTATTTTTAAAAATATCCCGTTTATTTCCTCTATTGACTTCTTTTACTCCACTTATTTTTAACTCCCCGTCCCCGATCCATTTAACCTAGTCTATACGTAATTATATATTCACTTACATCCTCCTCCCACTGATTATAATCGCCTAAATTTCTCCTCCTTAGTTACCGCTAGCTCCCCATGACTTGTCCACAGTCTGGGTCGAACCTCCAATAAGTCTATCTAAGTTACCAATGCAGTACTCTACAAATAGAATGCTACAGAATAACATGAATATTATTATATGGAAATCTAAAATAAAACAATAAAAGAAAAATAATATATCTACGCTATACTTGCGTTTGAAATCTGCAAGAAGCCAATGTTACAAGAATGAAGTGCTGTGTAGGTAAATATATAATTATATATATATATATATATATATATATATATATATATATATATATATAAGCACTAAAAATGACCAACGACACGAACAATAAAAATTGTCAAATTTTCGGGACGCCCTGTCCCTTCCTCAGGACAAAGAAAAAAGTTAGAAAGTCATAAGAACAAAGGAAAAAGAGAAACAAGAACAACTAGCACTACTACTAAACTACTAAACACTAGATATTTACATACTTAATTACATGATGAATTGGAATTTTTAAAAACACTAATAAAGAAAGAAATCCGGACCGCTATGAAATGCGTCCGGTCTATCGGGTATACTCGGGCGAAGTGCGATTTACATAATTAAACGAATTAATTATGCTAATTAATTACGAGAATCAGTAAATCGTACATTGTTTCATTCTCTCAAAATGGCGTAACTTTACTTAATAAAGAATAATCGAAGAAAAATAATGTAGCAGGGATATTTAAACATATGAATTATGATCAATTATAAATTTTGAAATATTTAGGGACTTATTACCGGGAAAAAATAATTAACAAAGGTGTAAGCAATACATAGTTATGAGAGTTGTTCGAGAGTTGGTGACGCAAATTAACTGTAGAATTTACACTAAATTGAGAGAATAATCTTGTTTAGTATCATCAGGAATTGGGTCTAGTTTACGTTCATTCTGGTGAAGTCATTCAGTTTGTTAATACCATTAGGGCGGAATGACTTCAATCTGTGCATCCAGAACTTTTCTTTGCTTTTTCTCTGAGCATCTGTCCATCTTGGGTTATGGTCAATCACCACTACTGTCATGTCCTCCCATTTGTGACCCTCAAGGTTGAAATGTTCCCCAACGGGTTCATTGAGTTTTTTGGTCCTAATGGTCGAACGGTGGTTATTGACTCTCCTGCGGAGATCTCCTGTTTCACCAATATACTGTTTGGAGCAAACTTTGCAACTGATGAGATAAATGCAGTTGTCAGTATGACAGGACAAATTCCCTAGTATTTTGTAGCTGCGGCCTGTAACAGGGCTGTTAAAACTGTCTGTGTCAGTGCTGTGCTTGCAAAGAAGATATATATATATATATATATATATATATATATATATATATATATATATATATATATATATATATATATATATATATATATATATATATATATATATATATATATAGATAGATAGTGGAAGAAAAAGTATTATATATTAATTTCATGAACCTGTGTTTTAAGTTAATATAACCTGTTTTTGACCGCGTTTGACTATGTACAGCACTACTGTACTTGTGCTAAAGTATATGACCCAACAATTTGTCAAGCAATGACTTGTGCAAAATCACTTCAAAATTGATTCAAACTTCCCGCTTTTCCACCTTTTCTGGATCCACCATACGTGTTACCTCTTCAATAAAGGAGACATGAAAAGTATATGGTTGTCAACAATGGATAAGGACGCCAACTCGGAAAGAGTGTGTACTGTGTGTGGATCTAAAGAAAATTTAAAACGATGTACTCGGTGTAAAGGAGTTCTTTACTGTTGTCGTCAGCACCAGATACAGGACTGGCCTTCTCATAAATTAAACTGCAGTCCAAACCAGGCTATCGACACAGCCACGAAACTGAAAGTAAACAAACAGACTAACGTGAAGGACACGTTTTTGCGAAATGGAAACAATGTTAACGATTCTGTAAACAATTCGGGTGCAACTAATAATGATTTCATTGAATTTGGCAGTAACCCCTTCAAGGAAATAAATTTCAAGAGACCACTTTCCTCAGAAGGTTCGAAACTCGCTGAGTTTGTTATCCATTATTTGAACAAAAATAACTTTTGCATCGTCGATGGAATATTTTCTGACACACATTTACGTAAGGTTTTAGATGAAATAAAAATTCTAAATGCAGAAGGGTGTCTGAAACTCGGTCGACTATCGGGAGGTCGTACGAGTGCTCAAGAAGCATTAAAAGTGACCAAGACTGAGATAAGAAATGACACCATATACTGGGCGGAAGGAACGGAGTCACGACATCCCAACATCAACAAAGTGGTGCAAAAAATGGACTCTGTCTTATCGACCCTTAATTGTTACTTTGATGGAAAATACTTTATCAATGGTAGAACAAAGGTACTACAGGCATATTTTACATAAAGTACTTTATAGTTATTGTTATAATGTACATAGGCATCAAAGGTTTAAACCCCCACCCCCACTTTGGTGCAAAGATTTAAGATAGACATAATATTGTACACTGTAAATAATTCCTACTTTAAAATAGCTTTTAAATTTGGGACTGACCCTCTCCCTTCCAAACTGTTTTGCTGGTTAAGCCAGTTTAGTCTTTTAAAAAGAAAAGACAGGCCATTGAATATGTATAGAGAAGAAGAAAATAGTATATGTGCATAGCATTGCTCATTTTTATACATGAGTGCAGTCAGTCATTCTGTATTTACAAAATTACAGAAGTTGAACTTGATACTATATATAGACTTGTGGACGACAGCCCCCCACCCCACCCCCGATATTCAACCCAAGGGCTTAATGGACATTTTTTTCCACAAATTATATTTTTTTACACTTATTCATCAAGTGTGCAATGGGTAAAAATCGTAAAAAATGAAAATAAAAAAAAAAAACGCTCCACAAAAATACCCCTTATACTGTACATGTATATTTGGAGCGATTATTATTTTTTTTTTGGGGGGGGGGATTAGATTTTTCCCTATTGTACACATGATGAAATTCATGTAATAAATATAGTTTGTTGGGGAAAATGTTCAATAAGACCCGGGATTGAATATCGGGGGGTGGGGTGGGGGTGGTTCCTGTCCACAATTACCTACGATATAGCACACTTTTATGGGGGTGGGGTAGTCAAAATTACGATGCTGATTTTCATTGAATAATTACTTCATTTCCACTTTTGTATGTATAGCTACGAAATGAAAGCTGCTGAACATTGAAAAGCTCAAAGATGACATTTTTCTGCAGGCCATGATTGCATGTTATTCTGGTAATGGTTCCTACTACAGACGTCACGTAGATAATCCGAGCGGCGACGGACGTGTAATCACGTGCATTCTCTATCTTAACAGAGACTGGAGGCCTAAGGTTAGTTTACTCTACACATATATACGTAAGTTTTGTATAAAGTGAGCACTATTACAATATACGCGATATAAGATAGTATGATTTTTAATAAAATTTTGTTATTCTTGTATACTTGAAGAATGTCTTAACAGTTTATAAGAGTTATGTTTCTTTTATCATGAACAGATCCCGAAGACAAAGTAAGAATTTGCTCCAAACATTTTTTGATATGATGAGTGTTCCCTAATTTGTATATATAAGGAAGTTCTAAACACTAATGAAATTAATATTTTTTTTACTTTGAAAATATTGTACCAGGTAATGTTGAGCATATTTATTTTAAACATGTGGTACCTGCCAAATTAATTTCGCGATCAAAATTCAGTGCTAAGAAACAGAAATTTTTTGGTACCCTGGAAGTAGAGGTGTTTAGAGCTCCCTTAAAGAATAGCAGAATAACAAAAACACCTCTTAGAGTGTAATAATTATACTTTAGATTCTAGACAGGTGGTAGTCTTTTTTTTTCCCCACTATGGCAAGGTTTTCTACACTACAATTGAACTACAAAATTGTTACAAGGGCACTGCAAAGCTGAGCATCCCCCTCTCAAAGAACATTCATAATTATCGGTAAATCAAAACAGCATATGACATCGATCCGATACAAATTACGTCACTTCCGTTACGTACAAGGATTAACTAACACAAACATACACAAGCGCGTTTATCTCCCCAAACTCTGACGTGAGGGGGTAATCTTAAGGAAAATTTCTTCTCTGGTTTCTGACTAGATGGAATATTTAAAGTACATTTGTTGATATGTCTAATATATTTAGATGTAAGAGATTTAAAAGGCCATATTTTTCTTTCCTCGTCACAGTTATACAACTTTAAATAGAAATGGTAAACTGCGTTTGAAAACTAGCAGGGACTATATTTTTGGCGGAATGGTGGCGTATGAAAATATCTTCTTTTCTGCCTCTCAAAATTATTATAGAACATTGAATTTAGTTATAATTTTTACGCAATCAAAGACTACACGAAATTTTCAAATGTAAGTTAAATTAATAATAAGGTACTACTTTTCAAAATATATCAAATAAATAAGATTTTTCACACATACTAGAACTATATTAGCTTTTAAATCCTAAAAAATTAAGAAAAGTAGAGGAAATTCGGATCAGCAAATATCCATTTTATCTAATTTATCCATGTCAATTTGGTAATATCATCTTATAGGCCCTATATGGTAGTATTTTTTCCTGCAAGTAGGGATCCATAGTTGGAAACAGTATTTTTTTTTTATTCTTAATTCCAGGAAAAAGGTAATGACCTTGACCTGACCTTGCCTGTAATATTAAACAGTGATATTGTCCTCTTGATTCTGTGAAAATTTCATTAATTTTTAAATACAAGAAATGTGAGAAGAATCCTATCTTAAATGCTATAGCTGAGTTTCGCACAGAGAAGTTGAGGTACATTTACTTACTTGTTTATCTCCGAAAACTAAAACATTCAAAAGGGATGCCTTATAACTGTAAAATCTTAGCCGTGTCACATCAGCTAGAATTGCGTTCCCGCAGATTTGCACGGCGTAGAAATTTTGGGTTTTTTTGTATTGCCTCGGAAATCAGGAATTTTCAAAGACACCTTTAAAAGATGAAGCTGGCACGATGTCCTGAGGGTGTCCAAGACGTACTTCTGAGTTCCCGCAGTGTGCTACTGCGCTAAGATTGCCATCATTGGAACACACGGGCTTGTGTAGAGAAAATAGCTGGTGAAGCGAGTAGGTATCCAAAATGGCGTCCTCCTTTGTGTTTTTTTTTTCTCTGAGATACTAATTTTTTTAAACTGATTTATTTTCTCTACACAAGCCCGTGTGTTCCAATGATGGTGTCGCTTGGTTTGTCTCAGGACTTTACTATTAGGCCTACAATGAACGTAAAAGTAAAGTCGTACCCAAACTAAAATATTTGAATATTTTATTGGTAAACTCAGATGCTTTCATTTTATCCATGGCTGTTATTTCATTTCTTTGCTTTTCTGTTTGAAAGTATTTGGTTTCACTTTTTCCCAAAATTTGTTCAATTTGGACTGAATCTGGGGTAGTACGAAATATTCTCTGAGTCACGTGTCATACTTTCGTTTTCTGCAGAAGCCAAGGAGTTGTCGATGTAAATGCAAACAAAGAAAGATTAAAACTGCAAATAGTAAGACCTTCAATAAAAAACATTAATTAAGGGATATGAACTGGCTCGTATGTCTAGTTTAACAATATTAAGCGAGAAAATAGCTGATGAAGCGAGGTGGTATCCAAAATGGCGTCCTCCCTTGTGTTTTTTTCGCCGAGATACTATTTTTTTTAAACTGATTTATTTTCTCTACACAAACCCCTGCCCCTGGGATCGGAACCCACGGGTTTCTCTCGATCCGTTACACTGCATGTAAATGCAGAAAACCCGTGGGCTCTGACGATATAAGATTGCTCATGACTTATTAGTTGTCATTTTGTTTTTGCGGGTACCCAATGCGCAGACTGCGCTCATGACACAGTGACACTACAAAGGACTTCGAGGTCTCTGTGAAAGCGCCATCGAAAGTTCCAATGCGTCGATACCCAATCGGCAATGCGTCGATACTGCAGTACCTTTAAGCATCGTCTGAGTGCGCGAATTTAGCTGTTGTGGCGCTGTTAGATACTTTTCCCTGCTGTAATGATGGCCTTGCGGCGATTCAACTGTGTATAGAGCGCAGAGAAACGCGCACTTTGTATATCTAGGCGATGTAGAGTTTTGACGCTGTTTACGGAGATTAAAGTAAACAAAGACAAGCAAGCTATATACGTTTGTGTAGATAAATTATCGTACATGACATAGGTATAAACACTGCCTTTTCTCTGAAAGTGTAAATGAGCGCGATTCTAAGGGAGGGGGTACTCCGTGTAATTTGGAGTTAGATATCTTGTGTTATCATTATACTATGGGTTAAAATTTACTCCCAAAACAAGTGCCTGTGATGTGCCTCGGGATCGCCGTGAGAACGCAGCCTTTGGTGTGACAGGGTTTAACTTGCAAGGCGACTGTATTTATCTTGTCTATAACATCTTCATGTCTGTGTATAATCTTGTTCTGTACACTGTATCTTTAAAATCAAAGTACTGAGACAGTACTGAAAGACGGGGTCAAAATAATCATGCTAGATTTCACAAATGTGATTTTTTTACGAGTTAAACTTCAGTTTTATATAATAACAACTTTATTTTTTCATTAACATACTAAGAACAAAACTATGAATAATATACATTCACATTTTTTCATTTTATTTGATTTGAAGTAGAAATTTTAATAATTGCTCAGTCTGGAAACCTTTCTGAACTGCTTCGAATTTCATCAGGTACGAACTAATAATTTTTCCGGAAGTAAACAATGGATGATGCGTACACAGTCATAATAATACGCAGGATAGTACTTTGTCTACTAGTGTTATTTACAGTTAATATTTTCAGTTTTAAATTATCAAAATACTTTATTAGTTGAGTTAGACAAAGGTTCATATCAATTTCTTCAGTTTGATACAAAATGTTTATGTTTTGATCGAAACAATTTCTGCACTCTTTCGTATGCGTAGATTTAATTCATGTGTTATCACCACGGCTTCCGTTTTCTATTTTTAGGCCTCTGAGAGTAAACTAAAAGACGGGGTCACGTGACCCCGTCTAAATACTATTCAGAAAAGAACCAGAAGTCTCTGTCAAGTCTGTAGCTCTACTGGTTTGTACTTATAACAAAGGATGTAGTAACCATGGCAACACTGATCATCATAATCAAAACCGATGGACTATTCTATGTATCTTAATGTAGTCTACTTGTGTGCCAAGTTATATTGAAACCAGACCAAACCTGTAGAAGGAGTAGCATTTTAAAGGAATTTCACAGAAAATTCTATTTTTAGTAACCATGGCAACACCGTTCATTGAAATCAAAATCCGATGCTCTGTTTTATATACCTTTGTGTAGTCAACTTGTGTGCTAAGTTATATTGAAATCAGACCAAAACTGTAGGAGTAGTAGCGTTTTGAAAAATTGTTTACAGACAGACGGACAGCTGGACAGACGGACGACGGACACCTTACTATCGCATAAGCTCTTCTGGTCTCTGACCAGTAGAGCTAAAAATTACGCTAGGAGCATTTGTTTAATAAATGATTTAAATTCGTCTAAAGGGAAATTTCAAGTTCCATCTTTTAGAAAATTAGAATGTCTTTAACTCAGTGTTTTAGTGTGTGTGGAATCTCTTTTGTGTGTGTTTTTTGTGTGTGTGTGTGTGTGTGTTTTTTTTCTTTTTTTTTTTATTTTCCACCATTTATACATACATGTATGAGCAATTAAAAGTTTTGTAGAACTTCTACCTATACTTAACATTTATTTGGCATGCATGCACATACCCATTTAAAGTCTTTACAATGAGAAATTGCAACTGGAACAGTTTATTAAATACATATATTCTCATAAATCATATTATCTATGCACTTCCTTTAAATACATGTAAATGGTATTTCTTTGGTTAACCAGGTCGATTTTCTCTTTATTATGTGTCCTTTATTAATGTCCATACTTGTATATGTGCATTCTTGAATATATCAAGGTTTCCGGCTTTTAATTCCTTTAAATAAAAGGTTTATAACAGTTTTAAGGACAGACGACTCACGAGATGTTCCTCAATTTTCCAAGATTGTGTCATTGAAGTATTGCTACTTCAACATGTTTACTTACAAAAAATTGAGGTACCCCACCAGGCATTTTTGCAAGATACCAGAAGATGGAATTTCTTACATAATCCTTTAAAAAAAAAGTTGAATGTGCCAAAGTAACATCTTCAGTGTTTCAAATTTTTAGAAACAATTAGAAACCGCTTAAAAAATCAGAAAGTAATTAAAATTTTGTATATTTTTCATATATTGTGAAGATATACAAAACAGAAATTTAGGGAACGTATCGTCTCATTCGTCTGACCTTAAGTAGA